GGGGGTCCCCGACTGCAGACCCACTGCTCTGAGGAGGACAGACTCAAACTGTCTCTCTGGCCCAGCCCTGTTTATACCTGCGTCTAGTCTGTCTGGAGGATGCAACTGCCGCAAACTGTAGCATGTCACAAAACAGACTTTCCCCATATTTGTTGGTTTGCCATTAGCTGTTATGTTGAGTCTCTTGATCAAAAGTAAAAGTAGAATAATGTAGAAAGATGTATCTGCCAGGGAAACAAAGAGATCCCTAAAACTTTTGCTGAAAAGCAGATGTCTAATAAGTTTGGCAGAATACCAGGAAAATAAGAGTATTGCCAAGGAAATAGATTGTCACATGCCTCGGCGTGCAGAATCATTTTCTAAATAAAAGTTTGTGAATACATCATGGGGTCCTGTGTGGCAAATGGTTAACTGACTTCTATCTAATGGGACTTACGGAAATCCATGAATAGCACTTGAGCTCCTTTCAGAACACAAGACAAAGAAAACTACTTTGAAATGTCATATTCCCAGTAAAAGGTGAGCTAAAGATGATGAGAAAAAAAAGGCGGATTCTAAATAAAATTTATCAGTCATATTAAATACAGTATGTCCCTTAACATATGCCAAGGGAGATTAACTGTGACTATTTTTCTCCTAGGAAGGTCTGTTCAGGTTTTTCTTTTGTTCCTCTCCTGCTTTGTCCTTGGTGAACATGAGCAACAGTAAGCTTCTTCAGAGACAACACAGTATTGAAACTTTGCCAGAAGAATAAGGTTCTAACTTTTGCCACATTGTCTCCTGTTAAAAAATTTGAGATCATGCAGAGATAAGTCAATATCATGCTTGAAACACTGTGTAATTAACTGAAAAGGAATTAGATAAATGTTTTAAAATCTGACATTATTTAGACAGATGGGCTCCTTTCTAGCCTGTCTTATCAGTGAGTGGATCATGAGAGAAACTTAATGAGTACCCACAGAAAATTTTCGACAAAACTGAAATCAAGACTCCTTATCCACATACACTGAAACTCAGTTAATTACAATCAGGACATAATACATACCCATTTTAGGCAACAAAAATATTCTTCCATTACTTCTCTGTATTGGTTTCTCTCTTAAATCTAGAGAAGCTACAGTGACTGAAGGTATCAGTCACAATAAACTTTAGGTAGCTGATAATGAAAAGCTTAACATGGAAGGCTAAAAGAATTTTGAAAGAAGATTGAGAGGGAAGATCCTAAATGCTAGGAGAACTAGAAATGATCAGCTGAAGTTTCAACTTTCAACCATAGCTGTTATATAGTACTCACTTGACCTCATTTTACTGTCAAAGAGAACTCAGTAGCTGGTACTCAAAAGAAATGTCATTCCCTGTTGACTACAAAAATTGCAGTACTTTGGAATTTTATTTTGGTGGTGATATAACCTTTCAGTCTACTCCACGTATCAAGGGCATCTTGGGCTTGCCTTACAAACATGTCTAGGTTACTGTAATCATTTTTCTTTGCCCTATATTCAGCAACTGAGTCTCTGGATAATGTCACCAAAGTGAACGTGATCAGGTACTGAGTGGATAGCTGTGTGTGAGCCAAGGTATACTGACATATGAGACCTTAAGATAATCATATATACTGTGGCAATTTATCCTTTTAGCCAGAGGGAGAAGTTGGACGTTTTAAGAAAACCCAGGAAGTGAACATATATGACATGCTTCAGAAGGCTCTGCCCTTACATATTGAAAAAGCAAGCAGTTAGGCTGAAAACTACCAGCTGTGCTTTACTGAATTCTGCCCCAGTAATGCTCATGTTAGTGTACTCCTCTCAGAATGTCAGTTTTTGTTAGATTTGTAGGAATGTTGTCATTATCTCTACTCTTAGCTCATCTTACTCTGACAACAATGCACCAAAATGAAAAGCATACTTTGCATAAATCCCCAAAGCACTTCACCGTAAGTCTAGAAACATTTATCTGAGGGAGGCAGAAAGCACACATAAGACAGTAATAATCACAGTGGGATTTTCTGAAATCAGGCAGCTTTATCAGAAGCTTTATCAGAAGTAAAAAATCTTGATTAATCTGCTGCCTGGGAGGTTTTGGAAATGCCTTCATTATATTAGGAATTAATATACTTTAGGATGAGCTGCAAAACAAAATCAATTGCATTTGTAGTTTTTGCTGCTGTTTAGTGTAATATTGATTTGTTTAAAAATAGTAATCAAAATTCATCTGTACACAGCCTTGTTCTGCACTTTGGCCACAAAAACCCACAGCAGTGCTACAGGCTTGGGGAGAAGTGGCTGGAGAGCTGCCCGGCAGAGAGGGACCTGGGGGTTGATGGACAGCCGGCTGAACATGAGCCAGCAGTGTGCCCAGATGGCCAAGAAGGCCAGTGGCATCCTGGCCTGGATCAGGAATAATGTGGCGAGTAGGACCAGGAAAGTGATTTTACCCTTGTACTCAGCACTGGTGAGGCCGTACCTTGGATACTTTGTTCAGTTTTGGGCGCCTCACTACAAGAAAGACATTGAAGTGCTGGAGAAGGTACAGAGATGGGCAACGAAGCTGGTGAAGGGACCCAAGAACAAGTCTTACAAAAAGCTGCTGAGGAAACAGATTGTTTAGGCTGGAGGAAAGGAGGCTGAGGGGAGACCTTACTGCTCCCTACAACTACCTGAAAGGAGGTTGTAGTGAGGTGGGGATCGCTCTGTTCAACCAAGTAACAAAATGATAGGACAAGAGGAAATGGCCTCAAGTTACACTAAGGCAAGTTCAGGCTGGATATTAGGAAGCATTTCTTTACTGAAAGGGTTATCAGGCATTGGAAGAGGTTGTCCAGGGCAGTGAGGGAGTCCCCTTCCCTGCAGGTGTTTAAGAGTTGTGTATATGCAGTGCTTAGGGATATGGTTTGATCGAGGACTTGTAGGTGTTAAATTAATGATTGGACTTGATCATCTTAAAGGCTTTTTCCAATCTAGGCAATTGTGTGATTCTGTAATTCTATGACTGAACACTTAGAGAGCTGGAAGATTGCTGGGTATCAAAAAACATATGGTCATTCATAGAGAAGGAGACTCAGAAAAGCCATTGAAATAAAACAGGAAATAACATATTTTAACCATTTAAAGCTTTTGTCACAATTTCTAATTGATGAATACTGGTGAGTAAATGTTTGAATTGTTATTACTTATTTGTAATATGTAGTAAATGTATTGATAAGTTCAAGTGTATACTTGAACTTAAATGCATATTGCAATTGATAAAATGAATAAATGCAATTTAAAATGTATGCAAATTTTTATAAATGGAGATGTGTTTCATTTTCAACTAAATTTTTTGTAGTCCATAGGACCTGATGTTTTTTGAAAGTAAAAGTATATAGTAAGTGCTGCAGTGATTCACAGAAGGTGGAAGAATTGCCTTAAGGATACAGGTTGTTCTGGAGGTGTGGATTCTGTCGCTGACCATGCTGCATATTTTCTGTGTTGGGATGGAAACCCACTTTAACCAAGTCATTGAAAAAATTAAAAAAAAGGTCTGTGCACGTGCCTGTTTCAGCTAAAGGTCTTTTACGTGGTGGCATATTATACAAACCTAATCTTTCAGTCTAATTTGTTTTTTGCTTGAGTGAAAATCCTACTGTTCAGGATTGATCTGAACCTCTATGTCTTTCCTGGTGGGCCCTGTAAAAGCTGTGAGTTTTATTTGCTGCGTTTCTGAGCTTCGACTTATGGGACAAAACTGATTCCATGACTTGACTGGCAAAAAGAACTTGATTCTATGATTCTATGAACTTTGCAGCTGCTAGCATGGGCACTTGACAACCCTTAAGATATATGCTGAGCTTCTATTTCAGTTAGTTTCCTGCTTTCTGCCCGTTTTTCTCTATATCTCTTAAAAAGAAAAAATACTTTTTTCTTGGGGCAAAAGTCTGTGGCAATGACATATCCATAACTGATTGAAGAGAAGCTCCTTTTCTGTGTTTTCTACATCAAATATGCTACAGATTGTTGAATACATAGGAAAATCAGGGGCCGTACCTTAAAAGGCGTACACCAAACTGGTGGGAACTTTTGGCCTTCCTCTTTCTCTTCCACAGCCTCCATACAGACAGTGGAAGTGAAGATCCCTGTTCTGTTCCCATGTGTTGCCTGATCTAGTTGAGCGACGTCCCTGCCCATGACAGGGGGGTTGGATTAGATGTTCTCTAAGGTCCCTTCCAGCCTAGGCCGTTCTATGATTCTATGATTCTATGATTCTATGATACAGCCTTTTCCCGTCACAGCAGTGCCCAAAGATTAATACCTGCTCAGGAAAGTGCTCAAGTACTACTATAATGATGAGTACTCAAGAAAAACTAGGAGTAAACTGGTAATTTTCTTTCTAGAGCAGCATTTAATGGGTGAAGTGTAAACAAGCTCCAGTATACTCAGTGACTGGTGAGGATTTGGCAAAATACACTGGTGCTCACTGGTTATCACTGTCCATTTTATGTATTGATGGTGGAAAAATAGTACCAGGCTATTCAACTAGTGCCTGTGTCACTGTCACTAACATATGGAGGGTTGATTTTTTTAGTTTGTGCTGCCATATCCTTCCCCTTTCCCTAACTCTGATGCAGGTCTCATTTAGTCACCTCTCGCAGTTGTCTCTGAAGACATAGCTAAGAAAAAATTGAAATCCATTGAAGAAAATCACCTGAGAAATAAGCATTTACTATGTATTTTTTGTTTTCTTTAAAAAAAACCTCCAGACCTTAATAATTTCAGAAGTACATATTAAACCAACATGTACATGATTTGCTAGTGTTTCTTGAAGTGTTTAGTTAATCATCTTCACACAGAAGACATCCAAACCCAAAGTATGCTCTCTTTTCTAAATGATTAAGCCAGGCTTCCCATAACATTTCACTGGCAATTAGGGCTATGACAGTCTGCTAACAACAAAGTGAAAAGGAAATACATGTAACCCAGTCTCTGAAGTCATATAATCTGCTGTGAAAAAAACAGAAAAAAAAAATGGGAAAAGGAAAAAGCAATGATGCCAAAGATACAAAAAGAAAAGACAAGGCCAAGATGCACCTCAGAAGAAATATAGGTTATTTTAATGGGGTAAGTTTTATTATAGGAACAATTGTTGGGGCAGGGATCTTTGTGTCTCCCACAGGGGTGTTAAAGCACTCCTTACTCAATGTTGGCGTTGCATTAACGATCTGGACTGCATCCGGGCTGGTTTCTCTGATGGGTTCTCTCTGCTACGCGGAGCTGGGAACTGCTCTGCCCTTCTCCGGAGGAGAATACAGCCATATTAAAAGAGGCCTTGGATCTCTACCTGCCTTTGTGTTCATCTGGACATCAACGTTCACCAAGCCAGCATCAAATGCTGCTCGAGCCTTGCTGTTTGCTGAATATGCCACCCAGCCCTTCTATGGCAGTTGCCCTGCACCAGAAGCTCTGAAGAAGTGCTTGGCCTTGGCTGTTCTCTGGTCCCTGGGGATTTTGAATGGCCGCAGCGTCAAAATGGCTGCCTGGGTGCAGACAGTTTTCACTCTGCTGAAGATGCTGGCCTTGTCTATAATTGCTGTCGGTGGCATAGTTCTGCTTGTTGGTGGGAGAAAGGAGAATCTGGCCAGGTTTGAAGATGCATTCAGCTCGGAGATCCCCAACGCATCACAGATTGCTGAAGCCTTCTTCCAAGGACTGTACGCATACGGTGGCTGGTGGTCCCTCAATTATATGGCAGGTATCTCACTCCCTTTCTTTAGATTTTGTTCTGCAGTCACCATTTTTGCATCCCTCAGATCATCTTGGTAAAACTTGTCTTTCCTTCAAGACCATAGAGTGTCTCATATTTTGTGCACGTTTGTTGGGGCTGGCAGAAGAGGTGTTATTCCTTTCTAGGGAACTTTCTTGCTTCTTGTGCAGTGTGCAGCATCAGACTGACATTTCCAGAGGAGTACAAGAGAAAAAAAAAAAAAGATCATTTAAAATCTTATGCCTACACAGATTTTTTTTTGGACCTTAACAAGTTGCATTTTGTCTTTCTCAATGACAGTGTCAATACATTTTTAGAAAAAAGGTTTGAGATATCCATGCCAAACTATGTGTACAGTAAGGACCAAAACAATAAATCAACAATAAAGTTGATTAATTTGTATTTAAATATCTGTACCTTATCTGAGATTATATAGCTGCTTTGTACATACACAAATTAATTCTGAATTGTGTTAAAATCTAGTAATTTTATGATATATATGTATGATGGTCAGTAGTCATCTCCTTGGGAAAATAATTTTGCACAGAAGATAAAGAATAATCTCAGGAAAGTGATAGAAATCTTTTCATATAAATTTTACTCAATTTTAAACACTGTTTTTAAATAGATCTGTTTACTTTTCCTATTCTATATTTGATGACACATCGAATAATAAATAGTGGCAGTAATGGTAGTAATAAATAGAGCAGTTTTTCATGAAAGCTGCAGAGGTAATGTTCATAATATTAGTTGTGCATGTCACAAGTGAAATGAGTAGTGTTTTATGGTATCATCAGATTTATAGAATTAAGTTGTAAGCAAGTGGATGTCGCTCATATATTTAACCTATTTGTTCATTGACTTCTATAACGTGTAAATCATTAAATAAACTGTATGTGTGAAATGCATAACACAAAGTTCAATGGTGAGATCAGTGTGAAAATTGGGTTAATGTTTAAAAAAAATGACTATTCATCCAACTGTTGTAGTCTTAACAATAAGCTGCAATAAAAAAGGTGATATAAATCAGCAAGATATAATTTTGAAATCTCAGGATTTCGTTAAAAGAAACCGTTTAGCTTTGTTAGCCTGAGAAAATACAAAATTATTAGTAAAATATCCGATCAGTTTTCAGTAATAAAAATGCCATACACTAGGCAGCACAGATGTTTAGACAGATGAAACCTATGCAATAGTCCCCTTCTGAACTGAATTTCCTATTCTTCAACAATAACTTCGTTCCTGTGAGCTTCAGCTAAATCATCAGGTGCCAGCTGGATGGCAGGATTGTAACAAGCAACAAAAAGGATAGAAAGATAAATTTAAATTGGCAATTTTCGTGATTGTCCTCTTCTGAGTTCAAAATTGCCAAGTGTATTGTATTTGAAATAAATCCCAAATTCTCTGAGAGTCAGTATCTGAATTCTGCTATTGTGCTTATTTTGTCCCTCTGGCTCTGTACATAACAGCTGGTGTATCAGAAGGGGAGTAGCTAGTAGGTCGAGAGAGGTCCTCCTACTCTGTCCTGGTGAGGCCACATCTGGAATAGTGTGTCCAGTTCTGGGCCCCTCAGCTCAAGAGAGACAGGGAACTGCTTCAGAGAGTCCAGTGCAGAGCCACAGAGATGACAGAGTGGAGCATCTCCCTTATGAGGAAAGGCTGAAGGAGCTGGGTCTTTTTAGTTTGGAGAAGAGGAGGCTGAGGGGTGAGCTCATTAATGTTTATAAATATGTCAAGGGGGAGTGTCAGGAAGACGGAGCCAGGCTCTTCTCAGTGATGTCCAATGACAGGACAGGGAGCAATGGATACAAGCTGGAGCATAGGAGGTTCCACAAGAGTATCAGGAAAAGCTTTTTCAGTGTAAGGGTTACAGAGCACTGGCACAAGCTGCCCAGGGAGGTTGTGGAGTCTCCCTCTCTGGAGACGTTCAAAACCCGCCTGGACACGTTCCCGTGTGACCTACTGTAGGTGATCCTGCTCTGGCAGGGGGGTTGAACTAGATGATCTTTTGAGGTCCCTTCCAATCCCTAGCATTCTGTGATTCTGTGAGGGGGCCGGTTAGCTCACTCGATTGGAGCGTGGTGCTGATAACACCAAGGTCGCGGGTTCAATCCCTATTCGGTCCCCATGTGTTGCCTGATCTAGTTGAGAGGCGTCCCTGCCCATGACAGGGAGGTTGGATGAAATGATCTCTAAGGTCCCTTCCAGCCTAGGCCATTCTATGATTCTATGATTCTGTGATGCTGAGGGGAGACCTTGTCATGCTCTACAACTACCAGAAAGGAAGTTGTGGCAAGGTGATGATCAGTCCCTTCTCCCAAGTAATAAGCAACAAGACAAAACCAAATGGCCTAGAGTTGCACCAGGGGAGGCTTAGATTGGATATCAGGAGAAATTTCTTCATGGAAATGGTTGTTAAGTATCGGAACAGACTGCCCAGAAAGTAGTGGAGTCAGCATCTCTGGAGGTATTTAAAACACATATCGTGCTTAGTGGTGAACCTGACATTGCTAGATTAATTATTGAATTCAGTGATCTTAAAGGTCTTTTCCAACATAAATGATTCTATAAGTCTAAGGTAAGATGCCAGGCTTAGTGCTAAACAGTTTGCCTCCACCAGATTTGCCCTGGAAAATATCATCAACAGCAGAATTCATCTTGGAGTGGCCTCCTTCTAAAATCACCACATTCTGTCAATACCTATAGTCTTTCCTGTTACTATTTCTGTATTTCCTGATATAAAGGCATAGAGAAATGTTTTGTGCAGGAATATGAAAATACACTCAGAAAGTTTCAGATCAGGACTCATGAGGTGATGTGTGACTTTAGAGCCTCACATTTATGCTAGTGATTTAAAAGTATGGCTACTTGAAAATTTCTTACCAAATCAGTTTTGTAATGTAAGTCCCTTTGTCATTTCATCAATCTATCAGATCTCCTTCCAAGACAGTTAAAAACCCAACTAAATAAGAGAAAAAAATTGTTCAGATTTCTTTGATAAGAAACTATCAGAGAATCCTTGTAAAACCTCACAAAGAATGTACCTTAGTGGCCATAATTAAGGACTTTAGTATCAGTCTTGTAAAGCCCTGTGCCGATTCCCTACTGAAACACACTTGCAGAAGCTACGCTGCTTGCTTTATTAGTCTTTTTAAATTGTATCTTTCAGAAGAGATGAAAAACCCTAGCAGAAATATTCCCTTAACTGTGATGACTGCTATTCCTGCAGTAATTGTTTTTTATTTACTGGTGAACATCTCATATCTGACTGTCCTCACACCTAAGGAAATTGTCTCTTCAGGTATGGATTTATTTTTTTTTTTATTAAAAAGATGTGATCCGTTAGCATACCCATCTGATGTCAGTTTACTGGGTTCCTTGTGCTCATCTAATCTGACAGTCAGGAAGTTTGGGTTTCATTCTAAGATTTAACAGAGAATTGTTTCATTTTTCTGTATGACGCAAGTTGAACTGAATACAGACAGACATTATTAGCTGTTGAAAATGCTGGCTTACATTTGTGCTGTCTAAAAAGAAGTCAGAAATGTATTAAACTGTTAAAAATAGGTGAAGATCAGGTCTCTGTTGAATATAGAGAAAGCCTTTGTTTTCCTTTAGTTTTAATCCTCTCTCCTCCTTCCATCCCTACCTCCTGGTGTCCTAGGCTAAAGCCATTACTGTCTTAGAAGATGAACAAATCTACCGTGACAAGTAATCTAGAAAAGTCTGTGGACACAAAAATGTAGTTGTTTCATCTGTGTGTGCTATTCATGCTAAATATCATGATTTCTTAGAAGAACTTGTACAAAAGTCCAGTGTATGTAAAGCCTTTCTCAGATCCTGTACCAACGAGCTGTCCATGAAGAGATCCAAGAAGAGCTGTGTTTCTCCTCGATTGTCCGAAGAGCATCTTTTAAATACCACTCTAACGAGACTGGGCTTCCAGACCTTGCCTCCAGGAGTGACAAGAATCATTCCTCATTTGGATGGATCAATTATTTTTTTTCCCATGAGAACAGCTCAATAAGAGAAATGAGAGCTGTGTAGCTGTCACTCAGCAACCTCATGTTATTGCTCTGCCGTTGTCAGGCTCTCTGCTGGGAGAGATGCACGCATTTGCGAATCTATCCTGCAGTGAAAGAGGCAGCAAATACCAGAGTGTGTTCGAATAGCAGCTGCCCAGCTGGCATGACCAGCTCCAAACATACAAGGGCAGTTGTGTTTGTCTATATCAGCTGAGGAGAGAGCCTTAAAATTATAGTTCATGTTTCAAATATTCCTGTTCTTTCACTACCTTTTTTTTATGGGGTGTTGTTTTCCTCATCTCTAGCAACCTTCCTATACAGCGCAGTTCCCTGCAAGACCTGTGTCCTCATGGCGGTTGGTTATTGACCCACTAAATATTAGTCTTTTGCTACAATATAGACTACAGCTGATTTCCAAGCAGTATTGAATATCTCTTGTTCGGGAATCATTGTTCACATTTCCCAGTTCCACCCAAAGCAAAACCTCATTAATAACATGCTCAATGCCCATCTCTTTACATACATGCACTCCGGTGGGCAATTTTGTCATAACATTACGTCATGTCACCACTGCAGGGGACTTATGTGTTCGTTTTGTTTCCCTGCATGGCCTTGCCCAAGTGTGTATGTTTGTGATCCATGGCCATAAGATGCTGAGCAGTCCATTACCGTGGTATTGGCCCGGGCAGGTTTACCTGGCTTGCTCTGGCAGGCAAGAGTCCTTCTTGCTGTCATCCCCCCCGGAAATATTTAGCTCCTGAATTAAATACCCTTAGGATTAGATTAGTCATGTTTGGCTTCTGCAACAAAGAAAAAACCAGATATTGCTGGTAATTAATAAATAAATACTTTTTTGTATTTTAAGTTTCATTTGTATTTAGTCTGTCCGTAATTCAGAACATGGTACCTACACTACGCTAATGCTTTGCTTTCTTACAGTTGCTGTGGCAGTCACTTGGGCTGATCGAGTGATTCCCTCTATTGCCTGGATCATTCCTCTCTCTGTTGCCATCTCAATATTTGGTGCCCTCAACAGCAGCGTGTTCACACTAGGTCGATTAAGCTATGCTGGAAGTCAGTCAGGACATTTACCTGTTTTAATATCCATGCTCAATATCCACTCCTGCACTCCAGCACCAGCCATGATTTTTTCAACCACCATTGCATCTGTTTTTATCATTCCTTCTGACCTTATTATGTTAACAAATTACTTTGGATTTTCTGCTTGGCTTATGATTGGACTGACTTGTGCAAGCTTGATTGTACTTCGATACCGGGAACCTCATCTACATCGACCATACAAAGTAAATGGAGATAAGTCACAAAATATTTTTACAGGTTTTTTGTTTGAGTCATGGGTAGCATGTGAAAGTTGAGGAACAAGTGTTGCGTCAAAAGGGAAAATCACTTCAAAAATACAAATAATGACAATGTTTAGAGCTTCATTCAGAAACTTTGCCTCACTGTAGAGATAAAGACAACTTGCACTTGAAAACAAGAGAAGGATATGTGCAGAACTGGAGGATGTGCAAACAACATGAAACCATACTAGTGTGGAGCAGTAACCAGAACAGTGTGGGACCCAGGCTGGCCATTCATGGTTAATTAAACCTTCATCTTTCTTGACGCAACCACAGGCATTAAGGATAGGTTTAATTTTCTCTAGTCTGCCTGTCAGAAAGCTGGGTTAGAAGTGCATGCTTGTCGTGAAGACTTCTTTGTGGCACTCGACTCTGAGTTTCTTAGGAGCCTGTAATATCATATGTGGACAAATGCTTTTTCAGGCACCGCCTATCTTTCCCCCTAGATGACAGAAGGAGCCTGCACAAGCATCTTAGAAAAGATGCCTATTTTGTAGGTGATTTGAGTCTCCTCCTGGATGAGATTTCAGCAGCATGGGAAATGGGACTCTAAAGTGGCAAAGAACGCATTATGAATGAGGTATAAAATCACAGCTGGTCAGTTTTTTCCTAAACCATTGTTTTTCTTTCTCTTGCAGGTGTTTCTACCAGTTCCATTTGTGATGGTGGCAATGTCTTTCTTCTTAGTTTTAGCTCCCATAATCTGGTCTCCAAACCTGCAATATGTTTACGCTTTTCTGTTTATGCTGGGAAGTCTTATTGTTTATCTACCTTTTGTACATTTTAAATTGCGCTTTGCATTTCTTGATAAAATTACTTGCCACTTACAGCTCCTGTTGGAAGTCTGTCCTGCTGATGGATCTGCTGAGGGCAAGTGTGGATAATGGCAAATATTTAATACGAGTACAACTAACAGCCAACAGAGATGGATCTGCTGAGGGCAAGTGTGGATAATGGCAAATATTTAATACCAGTACAACTAACAGCCAACAGAGAATTTTGTTTAACTGAGATTGTTGAAGATACAAGTTAGACATTAGGTGTGATCTATAGGAATGCATGCATATGCACGAATGTATGTAAATGTTTATACATATATAGATGAATATACATATAGTGCATACATATATACATGTGTATATACATATGCAGATATGTATAGACATTAGCGATATCTTACCATGAGTTAACATGTATATATTTGTGTGTGTCTGTCTTAATACATACATATATGTAGACACCTACGTATATGTATACTTACATAATGGGTGCTCTTAAACTGGTAAAATCTGTAAAATACTCTGTCTTGCTCCTGAAGATACGGTTAAAATTGCATATATTCTTGCAATAATAGAAATTAGACAAAATTACAGCACAAATAATTATGAATATTATCATATCATAAATGAGTAAATAATTATGTAACGGCATCATTATATATATTACGCTTTCGTTCTCCAGAATAAATTGTGTGGATTATTTTTAGTTCACAGTAGCTTGTTTATTAGAACTTCTACTATTACAGGCTTTATACTTGTATTCATCTGCTACCTTTTTTGTCTCAACTTCTTTTTAATAAAAACCTTTGAAGAACATCATAAAATTGACTGACAACATTTTTTAACCCCAAGAAAACTGTACATGATGCATCTTGGCTCTTTTAGAACAACACATACAAATTCAGGGTGAAATCTTATAAAGCATTGACAATTGGACTGGATATCTTAGAGGTCTTTTCCAACCTTAATGATTCTATGATTCAATAATCAAATAAGGCAATAAGCATTATTTATCCTCTTTATCACAGCAATAAAACTAAAGATATGTGGATTACTTTACTAAAATGTTTACATTTTAGCATTAATATTGCCTTATTCTTGGTTTCTTTTCAGTGTTATTGAGAAATAAGATCTTTTTTTTAGGCACTTCCATTTTTATTTTGCTTATGAAAGCAAGATAAGTAATTCCTTTTTTATTTTGATAATTGGGCCATATTAAGTTCGCTGAGTATTTAAACTTAAGACCAAAGAACCAGTACACAAGAAATGTCACATAATTAGGTGATTAATCTATGGGTATATGCTGTTATTTTTATAATTATAATAAAATTACATATGTAGAGTGTTTTTTCAAATCTATTAAAGCTCAGCAATACAACCAGTAGATGGCTCCAGACTAACATCTGTCGTAGACCATGATGTTCTGGGTTGCTGAGTATTGACCTGGTGAGAGAAATAGTTCTGCAGAGTGTGGTATTGTAACACAGTTGAAGGAAAGATTCTTGCTGGAAGATTCAATTATCTGATATATCAAAAATGTAGTGGTCAGAATGATAGATACTTTGTACATCACTACGCAAAATGTAGGGTGCCCATCAACAATGCTGGGAACCAACTGAAGGTTTAAGAGAATTCGGATTTTCATGGGAACAAGCCCCCAAATTAAAACAAGTTTGTGAAGACTGTGGCTTTTCTCACAGCTGGTGATATACACAGAGTGAAAATTTGAAGTGAAAATTATACCTTTTAAAAAAAATGCTCTAGGAAGAAAAGTCCGTGCAAGTGAGGGGTGAAGTGAGTACAGCTGAGCTGAAGACTGGATCCTGCTACTGCTGAAAGCAAGGCAAGAATCAATGTTTAATTTCACTGAATAGCGCTATCGGAAAAAACATTTCCCCTGCTATTTAAATTTTAAAAAATCACAAGACTTGACAAAATTTTATTGGAGTAATATTTTAAGAACTGAGTTCTAGTGAGTATTAAAAGGAAGGAAGGATTGTGTTGTGACTAAAGCACCAACTGGGGATTTGCAAATGCAAGTGTGGTGGCTGGCAGTGCCACAGATTTTCAACTGTTCTTGATCAAGCCACTTATTTCAATCTATGTATTAATATGTAAATAAAAATGGAAGTCATAAGAAAAAAAGAGTGTAGGCCAGCTGGTTAGAAAAAGGAGACGTCAGGGGGATATTGCTCAATTGGATATGTAATTTCTATGTAACTTCTTGTCAGTAGATCTACTTGAGCTCATTTATATACTTTATTTCCATAAGGATTTGGGTATGTGGTGAATACATATGTCAGGATATGATTGCAGCATGTGTTTGTTAATGATACAAACTTTGAATTTAGACGTTTAGCAGTTTCAACAAGTTAGGGAACTCTAAAGTTCCAATGAAATGTAATATGAAGTAAATTGCATTTATGTGTCTTTTTGTAACATGAAGTAGATAGTTATTATTTTAACTAAAAAACCTAGGAAATGGCACATAAATAGGCACACAATTTCAGTAGTTATTGCCAAAAGATCAACAGAGACAAGAGCAGTAAGAACAGATCAGAATTAAAACTGCTTGTGCAAACTTAACCTGCCCTCTCTGTGAAGGCACCTTACAATGGCCTTTGATTATCAGATCATAAACTTTTCTTTCAACATGCCCTTGCCTCGTTTATTGAATAGAATGGATGGTGCCTAGATAATCCAATATTACTTTCTCCCCATTTCAATGTGTGACCTTGAACTCTATTTATAACTCCTACTCAGATGCTGTTCTCGATAGACATTATTAATTTCTTACAAATTTTTCTGTGGTATTCCTCCTGACAGCATCTGAGCACTTCACAAACATCCAATAATTTATCTCTACTCTCATGAGCTGTATCAGCAGCAGCATCTTTGCTGATGTTTAGGTTACACAATAAATGCATTTTGTGATGTTCCCTACAATTCAGATCAAGCACCTTGATGGAGAACTGTTGATAGAGATTCAGGTCCAGCTATGGATGTTTCTTTATCTTAGGAGGCAGGGCAAAGAGATGGGGAATTGATGACCGTATGCTTTATATGGCAATTTAGCCACTGTATACAGATTTCAGTTCTTCCACACCCGTTTGTCTGGAATTAAAGGAAGTATGGCCAAAATTGTTCACTAACTTCGGATGCCTAAGCTGAGGTACCTTGGACCTGATTTTTAATAGTAATTAATAGGTTCAGAGTGCTTGTGGTCTCCTGGAATTAAGTTCCAAGAATAGTGAAAAAGGAAGGAAGGACAAATTATCACATTATTACTTTGGTTTAGATGAATACCAGGTGTCCTGTAACTCAGCTTTGGACTAACTGTGGGTAGCTACAACTCCTTTAAGGCATAGTCTATGAAATGTAATATTACAACTATGAGAGTTTGAGATTCCACCAAATCAAGCTGTGAGGATTTAAGATGGAGCACAGAAAGTCAGGAAAACAGAATTAATGAGAATTTAAAAAATGTTGGTTTAAATGATTGCAGTATGGCCTTAGAATTCTATAGAGAAAGACAAGTTTTAATTTTTCTGGGTGACATTCAGATTCCTTAATCCAGCAACCCTTCTGCAAGTGTCACCTCATTCACTACATCAAATTCAATGTCTACAGCAAGTGAGGGATTGGCTACCTCGCATTTGGTGTCTTCTTCAACAGAAACTGTTGACTTATCCCCAGATCTGAGTGAGGCAGGGATCTTGTGAAGAGGAGCGCTCTCATTAAATGACCAGCTATTTGGAAAGGGACTCACACAGCTAATCTGAATTAACATTATAAAAGCAATCTCAGATATGGTATAGCCTATCTTCCAAATGAGTCACTTGATGTTCTCTTAATGCAGCTTTTCTTTTGCCTGAGTGTTTTAGAATGCTAAAGCACAATGAAGCAAATACAGTATTCAGTTTATATAGATTTCTTATTGTTGCTGGATCATTCTGCATTTCCAAGCACTAAGCATGAAGGAACAGAATTCAAATTTATAACTTCTATTAGCTACTCTGGCCAAGAGCAATTCAATATTTTAAGATTATAGCTTGTTTTCAGTGACATTAGTTGGTCTCAGCTGCTTTCCTACTTCAACATATTTCAGAACATGCTATACAGAGGTATGACTGTTTTAGTACTAGACTATATCAGACACTTATTTAATTTTTTAATTTATTTGTTTAGATTTGACTTCATAATTCTTTTAAGCTGGTACACACTTCCATATTTCAGAAGTTCAACCTTACAACAAATAAATTAGAATGTGGATATTTGTTTTTCGGTACTGTACTGGTACAGTTTGACATATTTTTCTAGGTTCCTAACACAATATTTGTATGTATATCTGATTTTTTTTAATTACAATTATCTCCATAAAAAGTCAATGAAAAAAACCAAATGGTAATCAGTCTTATTTTAAAAATGAGTTTAGTTATATATCATCCTAACTCCAGATGTGCTGACTTTACAAAAAAAAATCATTCTGGTGCAAAATCTGACAGTTGTACAGAAGAAATGAAAAAAATCAGCAATGAATTGAATAAGCAGTTCTACATTTTTGTTTGTCCTTTGATGTGGTGAGTTTTGGTTGGGACTGGTTTACTCAGGGGAGGATGTGTGAGGACCTGCCCAAAGCTGTCAGGCAAGGAGGGGCTCAGACCTTCTGACTTCTGATCTTCGGTTTGATATGTGCGCTGTGGGCATTCCTAAATTTCCTCGTATCTCAGTTTCCACATCTGCTAAACCAGAAACCATTGTGTATTAACAATTTACAGGTCAAAGAGTATTCCCTTGTCACCTTCTCTTTGGGATTGCCATCAGAAATTATTCTTGTCATTGCCTTCTATGACTTATTCCAAGTGTTGGGGAACCCTGAGCATTTCCAGTTCTTACTGCCTTGATTTGGAGAGGAAAGAGTTCTCTGTGCCTCAAGAACTTTGAAGCTATTTCTGTTCTGCTTTGGAACAGGAATGAAACATTTTTGAATTAGCAGGTTTGGATAAGCTGTATCCGACAGATTTAAAGGCACCATGGAGGAGCTTGACCATTAATGTCGATTTTCAGTAACTCTAACAACACAGGGGAAGTTTCGGGAGAGCAAA